GAAGCTTCCTTCTCAATGGGGGTGGGGTAGGGGGGGAGCAGTAATTTAAACCAGCTTTCTCCTCTTCCCCAACAGCTCACCCAGTCTCATTCTAGATGATAAAATGGGAATTTGAAAAATCCATTTTGTTCATGATATTTTATTATAGGAAATATATTATTTTAACCAGATCAATATAATAGCATTACTAAAATTCTGCTATAATGTTATTAGCCTGTATTTAAGTATAGAAAAGATATTCTCATGCTCACCCTGATGACTCAGCCTTGATGCAGGCCGGGCTGAGCCCCCCAACACCCACCCCCGTGCACAAATTTCGTGCACCAGGCCTCTAGTATGTATATAAGTTCTTTGATTAATCTCTTCCTGCTCCCCTCCCCACTTCCCTCCAAGATTCATCAGTCTGTTCCATGCTTCCATGCCTCTGGATCTATTTAGTTTGTCCATTTATTTTGTTGATTAGATTCCACATAGAAATGAAATCATTTGATATGTCTCTCTCTGCCTGGATTATTTTGCTTAACATAATGCTTTCTAGGTCCCTCCATGTTCTTTCAAAGGATAAGAGTTTCTTCTTCTTTACTGCTGCATAGTATTCCATGGTATAAATGTACCACAGCTTTTTTATCCACTCATCTACTGATGGCACTTGGGCTGTTTCCAGATCTTAGCTATTGTAAATTGTGCTTCTATGACCATGGGGGTGCTTATATTCTTTCTGATTGGTGTTTTAGGGTTCTTAGGATATATTCCTAGAAGTGGGATCACTGGGTCAAATGACAGTTACATTTTTTTTTTTTTGAGGAAACTCCAGTTTTCCATGGTGACTGCACCAGTCTGAATTCCCACCAGCAGTGTACTAGTGTTCCTTTTTGTCCACATCCTCACCACTAAATTCTTATGATGCTTTTGCCATTATGAGATGTTTTCAGGAGTGACTCACAGTGATAGAAAGGCACCTTCAAGATCACTAAGTGAATATCTGGGTCCTTTAGATCTTCCACTCTATACTTTCTCTATCCAGGGAGATGCTGCATTGGACCTTCATCAGTTTAAGAAACTAGGTGCTGCTAATGTAGGACTCGATATAAGATCCTTCCCTAAAATGACTAACTCAGTTACTTGTAGGTAATTGATATACTCCACAGATGTAATTGCTTTAGAACAAAAGGCTCTATAATTTCACTATTTCCAGCTCACATTTCTATCTAAAAATAAAGCATTAAAAAGTTAGAAATCATATAGTATTTTAAAATAATACAGATATCAGTATTTCTACATTTTTCCTTCTTTTAAAAATAGTATCACATGAAATGTTGAAGGGTATTCTTTAAGAAGAGGGAGAATATAAAAAAAGAAGAAAAATAAAAAAATATGAACAATAAAATGGCAATAAATACATATCTATCAACAGTTGAATCTAAAAATAAACAAACAAGGAGCCTAATGAACAAAATAAACTGATGAATAAAATAGAGACATGGAAACAAGCTGATGAATCTCAAAGGGAAGGGGGGAAGGGGGGTGAGAAGAGATTATAAAGATCTTATATGCATATATGCATTACCTAAGGACACAGACAATAGGGTGGGGAAGGCCTGGGGCAGGGCGGGAATGGGTGAAGGGAGACATTGGGGGTGGGAAGGGAGGACATCTGTAATACTTTTAACAATAAATATTTTTTTAAAAAAAAAACAGCTACTGCTATAGTGGAGTTCATCTAATGGTATCTGGTTAGGGGAAATAGGATCAATACTTGAAAATGGGCAGGTAGGTTTCTTTTAAAGGTTCTTTGGGGAAGAGAGCTACCTACAATTATCAAGTACTGACCTTTTTAAATATAGCATGAAATAAAACATGTATATACAATGTAAAGAATTACTATTTGTTCATAGTCCTAGGATTATTGTTGAACTGTATGTCTCACTTGCAGGATCCTATTCTCAGTTTCTCTGCCCTTTCTACCATTTTTCATCAATTCTAAATTGCCATTGATGGTAAATATACACTTTTTATGGGTCATCTAACATACAATGAGATTATTTGGTTAAACTTTCATAATACCTTTCCTCCTGATAAAAGAAGTTATAGCACAAATAATTAAACATTAACTTTGTTTGCCTTTTTGCTCGTGAAACCTCCCCAGGGGACATGTGTTGTGAATATTTTTTTTCCTACAGGATTAATGTAGTGAGTTATCTGTAAGTTCTCAGTTCCACATTATAGCCAGTAGCTCATGTTTTAAAAATATTTTTGAGGTTGGAAGTGGAGTCAGAAGGCTTGGATCAGAGTCTATTTTTTCCTGGCTAAAGATAATCAAATTAAAAGGGCAAACCTTTGTGCCAAGCCAGCTCAGTAAAGGGTTCCGCAAACCTGAGTGAGGGTGGTGAAGGATGGAGAAATGACAGACAAAAAGAATAAGCTGGGTCTAGGTCAGCCATGGGCAAACTATGGCCCGCGGGCCAGATCCGGCCCGTTTGAAATGAATAAAACTAAAAAAAAAAAAAAAAACAAACAAAAAAAAACATACCCTTTTATGTAATGATGTTTACTTTGAATTTATATTAGTTCACACCTTGCTGCATCTCCCTCAGCCCATTAGCTGCCCAGTTAAGATCTAGGGAGCTTCATAAGGTCAAGCCTAATTATGCTAAGAGGACTGTGCCCTTTAAGCTGGGACTTGTTTGTGGCTTTGCCAACAGGTCAGTCTGAGGCTTAACCCTATAGCCACACCCTACATCCTTTAAAACCATTTTGGATAAATAAATCAGAGTCAAAGGAAGGGGGGGAGGCAAAAAGATGATAAGGAATATATATATAAAGGAAATAAATACCTAATAGAATTATGAGTGTAAATTTAGAGTTTAAATGCTGGTTATTGCTGATTTGTAGGGAATCTATTTATTTTTGTATATTAATTTTTGAACTTCTACTTCATGTATTATATTTTTTCTAATCATTTTCAGTCAGTTCTCTTGGGTTTTCCTAGTAATGCAATTACTTTGCTATCTTAAACTAGAAGTTCCCAATGTGCTCTTATCATGCTCCTGCTTAAAACTATTCATTGAGCTTATTATTGCCCTTAGACTAGAGTTCAGAAATTCTTAAGATGAACCAACAAAATCCTTTATGTTGTGGTTCCTTCTTACCTTTTCAGACTCATCTCATACCACTCCCCTTGTGCTATAGGCATGTTGGTTGCCTTTCACCTTCCTGACTATGCTATGTTTTTTCTTGATTCAGAGCTTTTGTATGTACTGCTGACTCTGCTTAGAATATTCTTTGTTCCCTTCTTCTTGCAGCTAAACTCTAATCATCCTTTATACTCCAGTTTGAAAGCCTTCCATAATCCCCAGACTAGTGGGAGATCGCTCTCCTCTGTACCCATCCTGGCACCTTTCCCCTTTACTTTTGCTTCCATGGTACTTACTCCACTTGAGATGGAGGTTATGAAGGAAGGGCTTGAGGAGTGAAGGTTCAGAATAGCTGCTATGACAGTGGGAGAAGCGACAAGATTACTCATCATCATCGTGGGTCCACCTATATAGAGGATACCCAGTATTGGTATAGGGGTTGGTGGACATGGTTGGTTTATGGCATTTCCATCAGCAGTGTTCCACATCCCAGGAGCAGAACTAGTAAAAGAGATAGCTGGATTGATCTTTGCCAGTAGTTTTCTATCAATGGTGATTTTTGTCCCCCCAGGGCACATGGCATGTCTGGAGACATTTTTGATTGTCACAACTGCAGAGGTGGGGTATTCTATGAGCATTTAGTAGATAGAGGCCAGAGATGTTGCTAAACATCCTACATAGGACAAACCCATACAATCAAGAATTATCCAGCCCCAATGTCAGTAGTGCCAAGGTTGAGAACCCCTGATTCAATCAATGAACTGAAATAAAAAGGAAATAGTTTGTACTGGGGTGTAGGGGATCAGAATACAAAACTCTAAAAAGTTTTCCCCTTGAGAAGATGGTATATATTCATGAGATCTCAGGCTATATTGCTGCTGCTTCACACGAGGCCTCACACAACTGGGTTTCAACTTTTAAACCACCAAGGGCTTAGTGATTTATTCTCAGAGTATCTATTGTCTAATGTTATGTGCAGGACCACAGAGACCATAGAGAGTATGGAAACATTAATGGATCAGGGAAAAGTCAATGCAGAATGTGAGGGGGAAATTAGAATAAAAATGCAAACTAATATATTAGTTTATTTACAAATCAATCATATAAATAACACTTAAATAATTCTCTCTTCTTTGCATTTTAGATATAGGCCGTATGTATACTTTTGGAGATGGTCGATATGGGAAATTAGGACTTGGAATGGAGAATTTTACCAATCAGTTTGTTCCTACATTGTGCCCTAATTTTTTGAGATTTAAAGTTCATTTGGTAAGGGTATTGCATTTCCCTGTTTATATTTTCATATTCCTTTATTTGAATTTCTCAGTATTTTATAGAAAATAAGTACTTTATATGAAAGAATATCATGGCTATATCTAATATATATACTCGTTTCCTAAAAGCCAAATGTCAGACATCATGTCAGTCTGAAACTCTGTCTCTTTTCTAATTTTCCTCCTTTAACACCTTCCTTTTTGCCTTAACCTTGACTCTTCTATTTTAATTTCATATGTGTCTTTAAAGCCAGGATTGTGCCATGCCTGACAGCTTTATGACTTGCTATAGCACCCAGCAGAGTACCTTACAATAGTCATCTATAAGTATTTGTTGAATTAGATATTAGTAAGACTTTCAAATTCTCCATAAGAGAAAAATCTGATAATTCATGAAGTTTTGAAAGTATGTTTTGTTGACCAAATGTTATTTGGATAAGAAGGTACTGTTTCAGTGTTATCCACAGCAGTCATTTTGTATCTGTTGTTTCTAATACTTTTGCCAATTAAGAACTACAGGCTTGAAAATTATGTTTCTTTGGTGATGATTATATCACTTGAAATTTGTTCTCCAAAAACTCAGTGCCTCATACTATAGAACATATCCATTCTTTGATTTGACCCGTTTAATGAACCTCTGCTCTAAACAAGATATTGACTGAGTATAAGGAATAAAAAACATACTGTGATGAAGAAAATAAATCCTCATTTACTGAGCTTATAGTCTTATAGGGAAGATCATTTTTTAAAATGCTGTGTGAAATATATAAATTTTAACTTTGAAAAAGGAAAGGTTCAGAATACGCTATTCTTATGCCACCAGGTACACTATAAAGTTGCTAAAAATCTGTATGTTATAAATACTATACATGGTTTTTTTAAGCACTTTATTGAAAATTATTTATTTCTAAAAATCCTTTGAACGTTGATTTTTTTATTGTTCCATCATTTTAAATGCTTGCATTTGCTCTAAGGACTTTAAAAAAAGGTTCATGCAAAGAAAAAGGGCTGGTCCTGGCTGGTGTTGCTAAGTGGTTAGAGCGCCTGCCTGAGCACCTAAGGGTCTCGGGTACAATTCCCGGTCAAGGGCACGTACCTAGGTTGCAAGTTCAATCCCCGTCCCTGGTCTGAGCACATGCAGGAGGCATCCGACCAACCAATTTGTCTCACATCAATGTTTATCTATCTATCTACCTATCATCTATCACTATCACCACCACCCCCCCCCCGTGCCTTCCTCCCTGCCTCCTTTCCACTCTCTCTAAAAATCAATGGAAAAAAATATCCTTGGATGAGGATCAGCAACAATAACAAAAGTCTTGGAGACATAATTAGCCCAAGAGACTGATGTATTCTTGGATCATCTTTTTCCAAGTTGAATTTTTCTGAGTAACTTTTTCAAGTAATTAGCATGTTGCTCTCAGATTAAAATAACATTTTCTAACTTGTAAGAATTGTAACATTACATTTAGTTTTTTCTCTATACTATCAAATATTTTTTTCTCTATACAATATCAAGTTGAAAGTACGTAAAATAATGTGTTAAACTTGTTCTAATTTTCAATCATAGTGTTTAAAGAATATGCATTTGACGGCTTGAACAACTCAGGGATTAGGGGTACCGACCCTGCAAAGTTGAAAATCCAGCCCTAGCTGGTTTGGCTCAGTGGATAGAGCGTTAGCCTGCGGACTGAAGGGTCCTGGGTTCGATTCCAGTCAAGGGCACATGCCTGGGTTGTAGGCTCGATCCCCAGGAGGGGGCATGCAGGAGGCAGCCGATCAATGATTTTTTTCTAATCATTGATGTTTCTGTCTCTCTCCCTTTTTTCCTTCCTCTCTGAAGTCAATAAAATATATTTAAAAAGAAAATCCATGTATAACTTTTGACTTCCCAAAAACTTAACTACAATTATCCCTTTATATTTGCAGGAGATTGGTTCCAGTTTTTGTGGATTTTGCCACAGATACCAAAATCCACAAAAACTCAAGTCCTTTATGTAAAACTAGAGTCCCAGTGCACACATTCATGCACGGGTGGGCTCCCTCGGCCTGGCCAGCAATTGAGGCCTTTCGGGGGACTGGCCGACCATGGTGAGGGACCCCCGGAGGTTGGCTGGCCAGCCCCCCACCCCTCCCTGATTGGGGCCTCGGGGGAGGGACCACGGGAGGTTGGCCTGCAGCGGGTAGGGCCATGGGAGGTTGGCTGTTGGAGTGCACTGACCACCAGGGGGCAGCTTTTGCATTGAGCATCTGCCCCCTGGTAGTCAGTGTGCTTCATAGCGACTAGAGGCCCGGTGGACAAAAATTTGTGCACTCGTGGCGAGGGGTCCCTCAGCCCGGCCTGTGCCCTCTCACAGTCTGGTACCCCTCAGGGGATGTCTGGCCTAAGCCGGCAGGCAGACATCCCTCTCACAGTCCAGGGCTCTTGCAGTCTGGGACCCCTCGCTCCTTACCACCTGCCTACAGCTTCTGGCTGAGTGGTACTCCCTCTGTGGGAGAGCACTGACTACCAGGGGGCAGCTCCTGCATTGAGTGTCTGTCCCCTGGTAGTCAGTGCATGTCATAATTAGTGGTCATTCCACCACTTGTTCTGTCATTTGGTCAATTT